ATATATATATATATATATATATATATATATATATAATAAAAATCATATAACAATACATTTATAAATGCATTAATATTTATTTATACATTAATAAATAAATTAAACATTTAATATTAAAGCACACATTTTATTTATGCAGCTATAAAGTGTATTATGATTTATTTTTTAGCATCATTGGAACTTACTGTGGTAATGTTTTATCATGCTGTTGATGTCATTGAATGTGATTTTTGGAGAGATGTAGTAGCCACCATTATCCAGAGATCTGATTTTATAATGTTTAACAACATCCAGCCCCTGAGCGTCCACATCTCTGATTGACAGTGAATAACTTCCTGTTCACAACAAAGCAGAATATGTTACACCACAAAGTTATATTACCACAAAAGACACTAGTAGACAGTAAACTGTGTGCACCTTTTGAGGTTTCACTTTCCCGTATGAGGTAAGACCCAGGTTTGTTAGCAGGTGCCAGCAGCTGTCTCTCTGCATCTTTCCGTGCGATATCTTTGAAGAACCATCTAAATTGTGTGCATGGTTAATCAAAATATACCAAGATAAAAAAAAAAAAAAATATATATATATATATATATATATATATATATATATACACACACATATATAGTTACACGTGTATAGTAATTCATCATATTGAGCAGCACTCACTCTTCTGTCTCTATAGTGTCTGCTTCTGCAACATAGTTTGAAGGAATGAATCCTTCCTTTCTTGAGGTCAAAGACTTTGCCTTCCACCACTCTCCATGCCTGGAAAAAAATATCACACTTCACATACAGCAGCAACAACAACATGATAACATGCAAAGAAAAATTCTAGATGATGACATTTACTTACTCTTCAAGAATCTTTAACTTCTCTCCTTTTTTAAAGCCCAGATCCTCAGCATGAATGGCGTCATACGGATACAAAGCAATGGCTATTTTTTCCTTTTCTGTATAAACATAAATATATAAAAATTTTACCAAAAAAAGTTTCAAAGCTACAAAAGCATAAGAATGTGGAATAATGCTCATCAGATCTACCTTCCATTTTTTGGAACACCTGACCAGGCAGGAGCCCGGGGCTCTGATTATTCTGTGAAATAAACCATTTCATATAATCATGATATAATCATGAAAACGTTTTAAAAGTATTCAAACCCCTTCTCTTTAGAGTCTATGAAAGTCAAAACATCACATCACCCCATCACTACTCACTACTTACTATATGAGGCTTATAGGAGGTTGGATCTCTCACATATACAGTTAGGTCAGTACGTACTGGCTGGTGTTTGTTTCCTTCAAGCACACCTCCATTTTGGTCACCATCCAACTTGGATTTTTTACAACCCATGTTTCCTGCAAGAAGAAGGTTAACCATTGTCAGTTACTGAAATATGAACAGAAACTGGAATTAAATCAAAACAAACCACAACCATGAAATATTTTATGATACTATTACCTCAAATTAACTCTACAGTGCATTACATAGTAATACCTATGCAATAAGACTTACACAATTTTACATGTCACTGCTTATAGAAAACTAAAATTGATACAAATGATGCAGAGAAGATTCCAGACCCATACTCTTTCCCTGAACACAGATATCAAGGATATTGCTTTTACATGGCAGATACAACATCAAAAATTATTTTATTTAAATATTTAATAATATTTCTAAATAAATAAAAAATCATACTACAATTAAATGAAAACATATTATGAATATTAAATATATGTTTACATTTCTTTAATATACATGATTAAATATCTAATATGAATAATAATAATACAGTATTATTATTTATGACATTAAACATTTGGGGAGTGGAAAATAACTTTAAAAAATGTGTTTAAAAGCCATATTTCATGATGAATACAGTTTCATGTCAAACATTAAATTGATCTGTTAAAAACAATTAAAAGCTATAGTTTTAGTCTTTGAACTAAAATGAAAGTCAACAAAAAACACAGTGCAATTCCTGTGGTACCTATACCAACTAAGTCATAAAGAACTCTTTTTGACGTGTGCTTATCCAAGTAGGTCAGCTGAGAAGCATCGAGTCACTCTGTATAAGATCGCCAGTACACTTTAAGAGGCATCATATGAATAACAATATGCCCTCAAAATAATAACACACCCTCTCAACATGTTATAAGGAACACTTGTAGCTTGGAAAACCTACTGGAAGGTCAGGTGAACACATCAAAGCAATGCCCTGGTAATATAAACCATCTGCCAAGATGGTGCAGAGCTATTTAAGGTTAGAGTTTCATAAGGAAGAAACCAAGGAATTCCCCTGCTGAAAATATATCCTTTGCTTATTCTTACAGCTGAGTATTGGGGAGAAGTAATCATTTTCTCTTAAAATCAGGTTCATTGTAGGAGCCATAAATGCTGGATATCAGCTTTACCAAAGCAACAACAGCATGACTATGAAGAGGAAATGCATGTACCGTGAATCTCTTGGGCAAAGGCCTTTAAATAAATGAGCAGCAAACGCTGAATTACTTCATTTCCTTTTCTACAAGGTTAGAATTTGAACAACAATTAAAAACAGATATAAAAATAGACAGACAGATGGCAAAGTGAAGTTCTAAAATGAACCCAAAACTTGTTTTAAAAATGTCATTTAATTAAAAACAAAACTACATCCCATATTTTGACCTATCGTTGCCCTCCTTCTGGGAAATTCTGACAAGCTTGTTTGCCAATTCTTTCCACATCCTTTGGTATTTCAGGAAATGTTTAACACTGTTGCCATTTGACCAAAGTAGTCAGTTCCCAAAGTAGCCAAAAAAAAAAAAGTTTTAATAGCCATGAATAAGTCTGAGTACCTGGATAACATATCTCAACAAATTCCACAACAGATAATTCCATATCTCCCAAAGCAATAGACATGGTTCTGGTTATATTTAGCCTACAACCCTGAAGAAAGAGATGTTAAAAAGTGCCCTCCATTGTCCTGAAGGTGAAATGTTATTAAAGTTGGTTAAATGGCTAAACAACACCAGGCTGAAATGGTGTATGTGGCCATCCTGGACTCTACTGATGTGGCAGTATTTTTAAATGTCAGCAGGAAACTAACAAGGCTATAATGCTAGATTAATGTGAGCGCAAGCAGGCCACTGGGGCTGCACACTTCCTCCTCTGACCGGCGTCTCTAGGGCGTTCAGTAAGACAGGAAAGACAGAGACACACAAAAGACCTCTCAACTACTTCTGAGTGTCAGTCTCTAGTCTGTTTGTATGAGAATGCTATATGTGCCTTGTGATTATCTTGTTGAATGACGAAACCTAATCTAGGCTATTTATCTCTGGTTTTTGTAGCCTGCAGATACAGAAATTTGAGGCTGGAGGAAGGACAGAAAGTGAACAGGCCTAATTTCTGAGAACAAAAATGGAAAAGGGTGTCTCTTCAACAACTCGGGTCAAGTGTCATGGTGTAAAAACTCAGCATCTTTAGCTAAAAATAAAATGGGAAGCATGTCCTGAGAAGACTGCTGACCTTTAAGGAAAGTTGATATATTGTACATGTTATTTTCATGCAAGACACAAACTGTAAAATGGAAAATGCAATATTTGAAAGAAAAACAGCGTTGTCCTAATGTAATTTTAACAGTTAAGTCTAATGATGACAACATATATTTCCCAACAATGTTTAATTTTACTATCAACTTTGTTGCTGTTTTTCCCCCCTAAAATTCCTTAGGAGAAATAAAAATATACTCAAATGAGAGATAACTCTTAAAATTAAAATCTCATAAAATCTGAGCAGTTTGAGACATTTTGGAGATCCTGTCTGAAACTCTAGGAGACTACTACTAAAGTCTTTTTCTTTAGAGACAAATCGGACTTTTTGCAGTTGAGGAAAGACGATTGCGATATTAAGGAGATCTCATTAGTGATTTCTTTTCCAGTGGGAAATGTGATTTGTAACGTTGTGCGTGATCTTTCTAAAACTCACTCCGAGAAATTAAAGCGATCATGTAAAAATCGTGAGTTAATAATTATTCAGATTTTATAGCCAGTCTATAACTTAGTAGGGAAATGATTCAAGGCTAACCGGCTTTTTCTATTTTGGCAGCTGGGAGTTTCCATCACAACACATTCACATAGCGTTGAATCAAAATTGAAACATGTCTATATTAGAAAGAATGGCAAATATACGGAGGAAAACTTTGTTGACATTGATACATATGCAAGTAAACGGTACATTACTGACATGTACTTTAACACCATTACAACAGACTATAAGAAATCATTTAAAACAGATAAGAAGTCTACCTACCTGTCAAATGTCAGAAAAAGTGGTTAACTCTCATTTAAAAGGAAAAGTTTCTGAGCGAAATAAGCGTCGAGTGCGCGCGCTGTTCCTCTCATTGACGCGACACGCACACAAACACAGAATGAGGAACCTGAGACTGGACGCCTGCTGCTTTTACTGCTCTTTCGACTTCCTGGTACAGTATTTACCATGTTGATTAGAGTTCGGTTTTATTTGTTTGCATAAAACCGCAGTGCCATTACGCTTGTCAAGTGTCAACTCTGTGGTATTTGGGGGAAAAGTATATCGGTATAATCTCACATGATGGTAGGAACATAGCCTACGCTTTCATTACATTCACGGTTGTGACAAATTTAATAGACGTTTGTAAAACCTGCGGAATAGTTAGAAATACATGTATATAAACGAGTAATCAATATTAAAATATTTCTAAATATAATAACTTCAAATATTTTTTTCGATACAGACATTATACAGCACTGTGAGACAGACAGACAGATAGATAGATAGATTTTTTTTTAGAATTTTAAAACTTCCTTTGTTTCTTCAAATCAACTTTAATAGGTAAATAACACTGGGGGAAAAAACAGATCCAAGTTAAAATAAACATTATACTAGCAGCATCACAAAAACACATAAAATGTACATTTTATGTCAAATTCATCATCAATGGCTTTACAAAACAGATAAGGTGTACCAGTACAATTTAAGTGCAGTAAGTACAGCTAACATAAATGCCTGTCAAAGGTCTTAAAAGTTTTATGTTTTTGACTTAATTAAGTTGCCAAAGTATGCAGTTATCGTTTTCAGTTTGTTGTTCAGAAAGTTCTGCTCCACTTCCACCTTCCCACCTGGGCCGGCGAGCGACGCGATCTGCACAGAGTGAAAGAAGAGAAAGAGGAAGGGGAAAAGAAAAAAAAGAAAAGAAAAAAAAAAAGAGGCAGAGCAGGTGTGAGATACCATCACAGACGACGTGGTCATTAGTTGCCAATATCAACATGTCAGTATCATATAAACACAGTATCTTGGTTTAGGGAAAGTTGTTGTTGAATTCAATCGCAAGAAAGTCACACTAATACACAGTATTTAACCATACAAGCAGTTATGAGCAAAAGGTAATGATGTATTTACTTTAGATTTAGATTACTAAAAATTTGCTACAGTCAAACACAGAATGCTCCGGAAAGTAGTGTGGTTTCAAAAGGTGCAACCACACTGCACCAGACAACAAGACCTTTCAGAGAATTCAAAAATCATTATACAGCTGCCTGCAACTGACAGACATCAGATGCACTAAACTAAACCCAGGCGTACATAGTGCATTCTGTGAAAATAACTCCATTTCTGATTGAATAAGAGTAAGATTTCAGCAAAGTTTAGCTTGTGTTGCCTGACACATATGACACAATGAATGATAACTGAAACTAGATGTATAATAAGTTGATAATAAATGCTAAGAATAAGTGTACAGCAGCCATGTGGACTAATATTAAAAATCAGATGACTTCATCTAGGCCCTGTCCAATTAAAATGAGAGTTTGATGCCTTTACGGCCATGTATGCTAACACTCAAGTCATCCATACACTAGTGTACATCCTCTAGTGAAAATTAATGTATTTGAAAAACATTTATTTCATGTAAATACATTTACATATTTACGTGCTTAATAAAAATAGCCTGCAACTGTACTTTTGGTATACTAAACTGGTATATTTCAAGTGTGCTAAATTGGAGCAACCGATTTTGTACTTAACATAGTTTAATTGCGCAGAAGTAGTGCTGAAGTCCAACTAAAGTATATACTGAAGTATATCTGATTGTGCTAAAGTGGAACTATTGCAAGTATACTTCAGGTACACTTTAAACATCTTGCATTTAAAGTCTGATATTTTTCAAAGATCATACAATCCTCATCGATTGCAACATTAAACCACATTTTAGAATTAATATTAAGAAATGTGCATTGTGCACAATTAGAATGCCAAATAAAGTTTAATAATAGTTTTTATATCAGTAAGTCTCGAGCGATATGTCAGTAAATATGTTAATAGATTTGAACTATACTTAGTATGAAATAAATGTATTTGAAATATATTACTTTTTTACTAGGTTCTACAAGTGTGTGGTGGGGGGGTAACTTTTGATAAACTTTGATAAACTTTTAGCATCAATACAAAAAAATAATCGTTTATTTTTGATAATAATAATAATTTTATTTTGATTTTTGTGTTCCTTGAGCCATTTATGGGGTCTTTATGTTACCATAAAAAAAAGAAAAAAAGAAATTATAAAAATGATAAAAAAAAACTATTATAAAAATGTTTAAATATGAAAAAACAAAAAATAAAGTATTCATGTAAATAAATAAAAGTGTTACCTGTTCCATGTTTGCGTTTCGAGGAAGAAAATAGACAATATTGTCCGAAATCATTTTTGACAACCTGAAAATTTCAAATGTATAGATAGTTAAGGAAGTTGGAATAAGTGGTTTGAAGCACCTTGACCACATACATTAGAAAGTATATCATAACTTCCACAAAGGGGAGGAGTGATGTGAAAAAGGACAAATCTGAACCTTCTCTTCCAAATTCTAATGAAAACCTCATTTCAAAAGAAAGAGGCACAGCCCAGAATAAAGTACAGAGTGTAAGACTAAAAGGATATCCATCTGGAGTCATCATGGTCTTGATGTTGAAGACGTCAGCACTGAGGTACTCTGGTCCTCCCCACGGGGGACTGAGGAAAACCATGTCTCCTCGCAGGTGCGGAGCCAGCTGCAAGAAGTCTCCCTGCACAAACTCTATCTGGTGCGCCACACCGTACACTTCTGCATTGTGCTGTGCCAGAGCCAGCCGTACGGGGTCGATATCGATGGCGATCACTGGATGTCAGGTGGAGAAAAACAACAAAAGGGTCAATGACAAACAAGAGTGGCCACAATAAAGAAAAACAAATAAAAACCTAGTAAGTTCAGTATTGTTCTTTTTGTATTCATGTTGGTTTTGAACATTTTTTATACAATTTTCAGGAAATGTTGTATTTATTGACTTTAAGATTCTCATATGGTATAACCATCAAGTACTAACATATTGACTTTACACCTTGAATACATGCGAGTAAATATACACAACTGGTCAAACATTTGGGGTCAGTGAGATTTTTTTCAATAAAAAAATAAATGAATACTTTTATTGAGGAAGAACCCACTAAATGTATCAAAAGTAACAGTAAAGACATTTATAGTGTTACAAAAAAATATAGATTTTAAATAAATGGTTTTAACTTTCTATTCATCAAAGTATCCTGGAAAAAAAATATATAAAATAAAAATATTTACTAAAAAATATTAAGCAGCGCAACTGTTTTAAACATATTAGAATACTTTCTGAAGGATCATATGCCACTTAAGACTGTAATAGCTGCTGAAAATTCAGCTTTGCCATCAAAAGAATACATAAAAAAATATATAAAAATAGAAACTTATTTTAAATTGTAATATCGCATAATATCCCTTTTACTGTATTTTTGATCAAATAAATGCAGCCTTGGCAAGCAGAAGATACGTTTTTTTAATATTTATAGTTGTATACATTGTGAATATTTCTAAATATTATGAATTACAAAAACAATCCAAAAAAATCTAAATTAATTTTAATTCATAAATGAAAAACATTATATTTGTGGTTGGCATTTTTAATGCATTTTTACATCGAATGTATGAATATATAATGTGCGAATAAATTATTAGACTGAGAAAAAAAATGAGTGAACATAGAAACATGTTTGTTTGTTTTTTTAACAACAATACTATATTATCAATCTCAAATGCTAAAATAGATAAATAAATTAATTACAAATAAAATCAAATCAAATACAAATTTCTGATGGTTTCTCAAGACAATGGAAACCAACACATTGGTGTTAGCATGGTAGGACTGTGTTGGCATGGTGGTATGAAATGCAACTGTACCTCTTTTCCCAGTGAGGGCAAACTGAATGGCATTGCCACCCACACCACAGAAGGCATCGATAATGAGCTCCGTGCTGAAGCTGTCCTGCACTCTCAGAGCAATGTGCTCTGCTATCTTCTCAGGAGTCACTGAGAACCAGCCCTCTGTGGACAGAACAGAGTCACATGCACATCACAATTTCAATTAGAAGCAAAAGGCTTTTATCAGTTCATGAATTTTTCCTTCCCAAACAAATAATTAAGATTAGCAGAGTATTTAATTCTAGTTAAACCTAAATGCACATTTTTATTACAAATGTGGTAGATTTTTGACACTTTGTCCACCAGAGGGAGTCTGCAGTTTTCATTTTCTATTTGAAGAGCTGAAGCTTGGCTCTGCTTGTCTCCCCTCTCTAAATATATAGGAAGAGGAGCCTCAGGTGACAAAAGGATGATCTTTTTTTAAAAAATTTGGCTAATTCATCATGTGATGCCAGAAAACCATATCTTTCTAGGAGAAGGTGTACAAGCCATTCAATGCTTTCAATATATGATGACCTTAAAGCAGACTCCCTCTGTATCTCCAAGCAGTTCATCATTCTTGAAAGCTGTGCCACTTTAAAACATGGCCTCAGATACTGCATCTTCATGTTTTTAGGGTGTTGCATGTATCTGTGAGAGAGAGCTGAGGCAGAAGCAGTCAGAGAGCACAGAGAGAGTGGAGTTTAACAGAGCATGTCCTCCTCTGATTCAGTGGAGACCAACACCATCTGCTTTTAGCTTCTACAAACGCATCTCTGTTTTTCCGCCTCTCGTATTTCTCTCTCCACTGAGAATAGAACACCTGCTAAAGTAACAATCACTGGTCTGGAGCAACCACGTTCAGCACTTCCCGTTTACAGAGTGAGGTCCGGACAGCGGGTGGCACCAAGAGCCCATCAAGTACAGGTGCCCCCAAGTAAAGAGAACTTGCTTTTCTAAGCACATATACCATAAGTGGTACCTTAAATTTGCATAACAAGCTCGCTCAAAAAAAAAAGGACTACATCTTACAGAAAAACATACTGTCAACACTAATAACAAATAATTGTATTGGTGTCATTTTATAATTGCAGTGACATTTCCATCTGAAAATGTTTAAAAACTGAAATTAAACCTACCATGCTATATTGATTAAAGTATCTCCTTTCACATATAATTCA